ATGAGATTGAATTTCTCCATCACCTCTTTCCACAGATGTAGTCAATTTGATTCCTGTTTATTTCATCTGGCAAGGTCCACATGTAGTCACTGTTTCTATCATTGAAAAAGGTATTTGCAATGAATAAGTTGTTGGTCTTGCAAATTCTGTCATGCAGTCTCCAATGTCATTTCTGTCACCAAAGTCATATTTTCCAAATATGCTGCTGCTTTGTTTCCACTTTCATATTCCAATCACCAATAATTATCAGTACATCTTGACTGCATGTTTGGTCCATTTCAGACTGCAGAAGTGGTAAAAATCTTCCATTTCTTCATCTTTGGGTTTAGTGGTTGTTGTGTAAATTTGAATAATAGCCATATTAACTGGTCTTCTTTGTAGGTGTATGGATATTTTCCTATCACTGATACCATTGCACTTCAGGATAGATCTTGAGTTGTTCTGTACCCCTAGCTTTTCATATTTCCTGCTTCATCTGTTTGGACAAAATCTCCTAGGTCATAGGTTTGCTCCCTGCTTCCTTCACCTGACACATTCTCAAAGAGGTCTGTGCTGTCACTAACTGTATAAGGATCAGCATAAGTCTGATTCTCAGCTGGAAGTAGACCCAGGTTTCACTTTACCTTCTTATATCTTCGTTCCTTGTCACAGCCACCTCTTCAGTTGTACTTCATTTCTCACCTAACCACCCAGCATTAGATCAGACTTCATCTCTGGCCACCCACAGCAGGTCATTGGGTACCAGTTGTAGTCTCAGGAGTCTACACAACTCCCTGCACTTCACACCAGTGGTACCTCTTTAGCCCCCTGGGCTAAGTCACAAAGTAGAGGGACCCTGTCCTTCATTAACTGCCTGTGCAGCCTCTGTGTCACAGTTACCAGAGCTGTGTCTTCACAAATTAACTGCCTGCACAGTTCTCTGAATTAGCCATTCCAGCCTAAGTCAGTCTTCTTGCCCCTTGTAGGTTCGTTAATTCTCTATAATGACTCTCGAGACTTACGGAGACTATTACCTATATGTGATATGCAGATTGCAACCATGCTTGGTGAAAGTGAAGAGGACTTAAAGCACTTACTGATGAAGATCAAAGACTACAGCTTTCAATATGGATTACACCTCAACATAAAAGAAAATAAAAATCCTTACAACTAGACAATAAGCAACATCATGGTAGATGGAGAGTGAAGTTGTCAAAGGTTTCATTTTACTTGGATCCGCAATCAACACCCGTGGAAGCAGATGTCAGGAAATCAAACAATTTATTACATTGGGCAAATCTGCTGCAAAAGACTTCCTTAAAGTGTTAAAAAGCAAAGATGTCATCTTGAGGACTAAGGTTTACCTGACTCAAGCCATAATATTTTCAGTTGTCTCATGCATGTGAAAGCTGGACAGTGAATAGAGTAAACTGAATAAGAATTGATCCATTTGACTTATGATGTTGGTGATGGATATTAAATAAACCAGGGACTGCTAGAAGAACAAACAAATCTGTCTTGGAAGAAGTACAACAAAAAGCTCCTTAACAGTAATGATAGTGAGACTTTGTCTCACATACTTTGAACATGTTGTCAGGAGGGATCAGCCCCTGAAGAAGGACATTATGCTTGGTAAAGTAGAGGGCCAGTGAAAAAGAGAAAGACCCTCTATGAGATGGATTGACACAGTGGCTGCAACAATGGGCTTGAACATAGCAATGATTGTGAGAATGGCACAGGATCAGGCAGCGTTTTGTTCTGTTGTACATAGACTCACTGTGAGTCAGAACCTACTCCAGGGCACCTAGCAACAACAACATTACCTGTACTTAACAGTTATCTATTTATAGTAATCAGAAAGGATACAAGTGAAAAGATTAATCAGACAAGGTATAGGAGAGGTCCCAGCAGCAGAGGCTTCCATTGTCCCCAGGGACATGCCATACCCTCTCCTGTGTATGGATTTTTTCACCAATCCAGGAAGGCCTGAAGAAGCAACTCCAAGATCCAGGGTCCTGTAGTCATTAGGGCTCAATACATATGCTCGGCTGGGGCCTAATGTATAGTTACGATTGACCCAATCAGTGAGTATGCATGATTGATTGTATCATGTCCTCTCCCTTTCTGAGATCTGTTGCCAGGGTAGAGTTGAAGGCTCCCAACTCATTCATACATGTTTAAGTGTTGCCTGGCTATTTTAGAAAACAAAGTCACCTTGATTTCTGGCAAATTCTAAGAACTATTTTCAGTAAGCAGATAAGTCAAACCAAGTTTTTGTCCTATACCTTCCCTGACCAACCTAACTCCGGTTTCAAGCCCCTTCTCAACATTTTCTGGATTCCTTCTTGAATGTGTATTTTTTCCCTATGTGACATTTTATTATATATTTATTCTGTTGTTTGGATCTTGTTTACTCTTCATGTCCAGTGTCTAGTATAATAAATATATATTAATTAATAAAAAATAACTTCACATAGGTAGGTAGCAGTTTTGGAAAATCTCTGAGGTATTCCTTCACAGCTTTCTGTGGGGAAAGATAGATGAAGGTGAAAGAAAAGAAATCAATCAAATGGGGAATTTTTTTCCAAATTAGAGGTATCTTTTTAAATCTACTCTAAATAATCTATTCTTCCTTAAAATCTGAAAATGGTTCTAGAAATACTATTGTTCTTTAAGTTATATGTCACTTGATAAAATTAATATAGCCTTGGCAAGTTCATGAAAAGGGTATCATCAGTATTCTAAATTTAGGCAAATCTGATATTTGGACATTTGGGTAGTGATTGTAACCACATCAAAAATATGTATGAACAGATTTCTTATTAAGATAAATGAGGCCTTTGAGGTTTTTTTTTTTTCTTTTTTTCTTGGTGCACAATTTTTAAAGATGCTATTAAGGATTATGTTTAAAAGTTTAAGCAAATATGCTCCCTGCCTCCCAATTTCGTGTTGAAAGAACAAGCTTCTAGATACATAGGAATAGTTTTGTCTTAAATAAATGTGAAACTTAACTTTTTTTTTTACATTGTTAAAAATTTTATTCAAAAGCATCTTTTAAGAAATATGTTTCAGAAGAAGGAATTGACTTGTTTCTGTATGCAGTATGTATATTTTATTTGCATAGACAATATTTTAATGACTTTATTGAGATGTATTTCACATATAAAATTTATTCTTTGAAAATGTACAACTCAGTGGCTTTTAATATATTCACTGTGTTGAATATAATAAACTACTATCTAATTTTGGAACATTTTTCATCACTCCAAAAGGAAACCCTGTACCCACTAGCAGTTACTTTACACTCTTTTCTCCCATAGCCACTAATCTATTTTCTATCTGAAAAACCAAATGAAACTAGTTGCCTTATGTTAATTTTGACTCATGTTAACCTTATTTATACCACAGTAGAACTGTGCTTCACAGGGTTTTCCATGGTTAATTTTTTTCTGAGTTGCCTCTGGATAGACTCAAACTTCTAACCTTTTAGTTAGCAACTGAGATTTGCATATTCTGGACATTTTGTGATTACGATGTCATACAATATGGCCTTTTCACTTAGCATAATGTTTTCAAGGTTTATTCATGTTGTAATGTGTACTAATAACTTTATTGCTTGTTGTGGCTGAATAATATTCCATTGTATGGATAGAGCACATTTTGTTTATCCATTCATTAATTGATATAAATTTGTGTTTCTCTTTTTTGGCTCTTAAGAATAACACTGCTCACAGAAACAGTTAGTCCAGAGGACTAAGGGAGCCTGTGAACCCCAGCCTCCACGATCCTGTTGTTAGATGCCGTTGAGTCGGTCCCGACTCATAGCGACCCCTCCTTGGGTTTCTGAGGCAGTATCACCACGGAAGTAGGATTGCCCAACCTTCCTTCCGACCACGACCCTGAGACCAGAAGAATTAGATGTTGCCTAGCTACCACTGCTGACTTCTCTGAAAGGGATCACAATATAATAAGAGGTCTCAGAGGAAGGGGAAATGTGGAACAAAACTCAAAATCATTAAAAAGACCAGGCTTACTGATCTGATGAAGACTGGTGGGACCCCCAAGACTATGGCCCTTAGACATCTGTCAAGCTAGAAACTGAATTTAATCCCCATGACTTAAGCAACTGTCAGCCAAACAATAGAGATGAACAATATCGGTAGGGTGTGCACTCATAGAACAATTCAGCACATGAGATCAGGAGGACAGCAGTTGCCCAGGGATAGAGCTAGGAAGGCAGAAGGGGATGGGAAGGGAAAACAAAGGGACGGGTAGGAGCAGGAAGGAAGTAGGATGAATGCTGTTAAAGTGTGGAGATTGCAGTAAATGTCACAAAACAATGTGTATGGATTGTTGAATGGAAAACCAGTTTGCTCTGTAAACTTACTCAAATCACAAAAAAAAAA